ACCCGATATTCATAATATCATTATAGGTTTATGTTTGGGTGACCTTAGTATTGATAAACAAGCTACAAATGCAAGATTAAAATTTGAGCAAGGTGCAATAAATGAAACATATCTCTTACATTTATATGACTTGTTTAAAGATTATTGTGGTACTAGTCCTAAATATAGTTCTCGTAAACCTAATTCTCAGACAGGTAATATTTATAACCGAGTTATTTTTAATACTTATTCTTTACCTTGTTTTAATTACTACCATGAGTTATTCTATGTAGATAAAGTAAAAATAATACCATCGAACATAGGAGAACACTTAACACCTGTTGGTTTAGCTTATTGGGCAATGGATGATGGGGCTAAATTCTCTAAAGATAATTTTATTTTATGTACTAATTCTTATACTAAAAGTGAAGTAGAATTATTAATTAAGGTTTTAAAAGAAAACTTTGATTTAAATTGTACTATTCACAAACAAGGGAAAGATCAGGCTAGAATTTATATTAGATCAGATTCAATGAATAAATTTAAGTCTCTAGTAACACCTCATTTCCATGAATCAATGATGTATAAACTTACTGCTTAAGTAAATACTCATTCAATAGCGGGTGATTGGGAGTATAAAATATATCAGCTTGCTATTTCATTTAATTTTCATATCAACTCCCATTTAATTTCATATCAACTCCCATTTTCTAAGAGGTGGTATTATTAAAAATCTTCTCAACATTCACATGGAAAGCTGTAATTGGTGGACCTATCTTAGCAGCAATAAGTATTATTCCATTTGCATTCATAGTTGCATTTACTGGATTAGAACTTGCGATAGCTTTCATCCAAGCATAAGTAATATTGTGCTAAATGTTTAGGTGAACTCGCGAGGGTTATTAATACATTCCTAGATATAGTTAATTAGTTATATCTCGATTAGATTGAGATTACCATACTACAACAACTTTGTAAAGGAAGTAGTTAATGGATGACTAATATACATGGGCGACGGCCCATAGAGCAATGAGAGTGAAAACGGTCAATGGCTGCCTAGCAGAAGACCGTCGGTGGTTACAAACATCGCTACAGACTGGGTCACTCTTGGGTGCCTGAAATGGTGCTTAATGTACAGTCGAAACTCGGGAAGGATATCTATTCCACCCTAATAAATGAAACATAAAAGGCTATAAGAATATGTTATCATATAGAGTATTGATGTATTTACTATGTTAACGGCTTCATACTTAAACGATGCTATTAACTTACATTAATTAATGTAAAACTCCCAATTAAAGGGGTAGTATTTACAATGTTAATAATTTTATACTTAAATGACCCTTTCAACTTACATTAATTTAAATTAAACATCTCTCCCTTCATTTTGTATACAGGGTATATGAAATGTTGAGTTTTAATTACTTATTCCTAAGTGTAATGAATCTAATATTACATTAAAATAAATATGTAATAGAAATGATATTATGATCAAAGGTAATACTACAAAGAATTCTTCCTAGTACTATCCGCAATAATAGATATGTATCGAGAAACTTCCGAAAGACATTTATTATCCTATATGAACATTGAAGTTTTATTTATAAAAAATTAGTTATTAAATTGGTAATTCAACGGTGAAAACCATTATGGAAGTACTTAATAATAATATTTAGGGTTATTCTTGGGAGTTTATTAGTATGTTACTTATTCCTAAGTGTAATGAATCTAATACTACATTAGGATAGATACCTAATAAGAAAGATACGATGATAAGTGGTAATACTACAAAGAATTCTCTTCTTGAGATATCTGGCATAGTACTCATATATTGAGAAGCTCTTCCGAATGCGACTCTATTGAAAAGCCAGATAGCATAACCTGCACCAAAGAACATTCCAGTTGCTCCTAAAATTGTAATAATAGGATTTTGTTGGAAGGCCCCAGCAAATGACATAAATTCACCTACGAAGTTACCTGAGAATGGAGTAGCAATATTAGCTAATGTTGCAAAGAAGAAGATTAGTGATAGTATTGGCATTGTCCCTGCGATCCCTCTATAATATTTGATTATTCTTGTGTGAGATCTAGTATATAAGATATCTCCTACAATAATAAATAATAAAGGTGAAATTACACCATGTCCTAAACCTAATATAATCGCACCTTCAATACCTTGTAAATTGTTAGAAAATAATCCTAATACTACTACACCCATATGAGCTACAGATGAGTAAGCAATAATTGCTTTAACATCAATTAATCTTAAACAAGTTAATGAAGCATATATTATACTAATTACAGATAAAGTATAGATTAAAGGTGTAAAATATAAAGTAGCTTCAGGTAAGAAAGGTATCATAACTCGTAAAGCTAAATATGTAGCTAATTTTAAGATTACACCAGCTAATAATACTGAACCACCTATAGGAGCAGCTACATGAGCAAATCCAAGCCAGATATGCGCAGGAATTAATGGTGTTTTAACTATCATAGCAATTAAGAATCCTACAAAAAGTAATTTTTGTATATCAGTACCAAAATCTATAGTAGATAAAATTTGGAAATCTGTTGTTCCTGTTAAGATTAAAATTGTAATTATAGCTAATAACATAAATAAAGATCCGAATAATGTATATAAGAATAACATATATCCTGCTTTTTCTTTAGTTGCTAGATCACCAAAATTTATAATAATAATAAATAATGGTATTAATATACTTTCGAAAAATATATAGAATAATAATAAATCTAAAACTATAAAAGTTGCTATTAATAAACTTTCAAGGATTAAAAAATTTAATAAATAATGTTTTAGATTATTTTTATGATCCCAACTTGTTAATATAATTATAGGAAATAAGAATGTTGTTAATAATACAAAAAATAATGAAATTCCATCTATTCCTACATAAAAATGACAGAAAGATACTTCTGCCCATTCTTGTACAAATTGGTATTCATGAGTATTATTATCAAATTTACCCCATATAATTAAAGAAATAAAGAAATTAATAATAGTGGATCCTAATGTAATTTTTTTCATTAAAGATTCATTATTATTATTTACAAAAAATAAACTTATAGCCCCTATTAAAGGTACAAAAAATAATGATGAAAGCATTTTAGTAAAATGAAATAAAATTTAGTCCTATAATTTCTTATATAAATTTTTTATTTAAATAAATACTCGAGCCTAAACTAAGATTTAAATATACCTTGACGAACTACCTATCATAAACAAAATAGTAATATCATAGGCTCTTTATTCTAGGAATTTATTCCTGGTTAAAGAATAAAGTACAAACTAATTATATTTTTTGTAAGACGAATAGCTCATCATTTTCTACAAGATAGAGATAATATTAGCTTTGTCTCGTTTTTAACAAGACAAATCTATTGTTTTAGAAAGGCTTGCTACCCTATAGTATCTTTGATAATTGGTAGATAAAATAATAATATTTGTAATGAGAAATATTGTAATAAAGTAGGAGAGTATAATTATTTTTTTAATATAAATAAATTTTATGGCCATATTGCATAACACAAAAATTAACCAAGTCAAAATTTTAGTTTAATTAATTTTGCATAATGCTAAAACATAATCTTGTAAGTAAAATGCGTTACTTTACTCATACCTTAGTCTCTCTCATATGAAGTTAAAATAAGACGTCTAATACTGATATGACTCTCAAGTCCCTCAGACTCTTGCAAAATCTAATATTAAAACCGGTCCATAGTTTTACAGCTAAGATCACTTGCTGACAAAGCAGAAAACATCACATATAGTCATATATTAGGCTTCCTCTTGCTTTTACCCACGAAACCGAAATTTTATTTTTAATAAACAAATAATTATACTATAAAAATCTTTATTCAAACTAGACCCGTAATTCATTGAATCTACTAAGAGGGGGGGGGGACAAACCCGGCAGGGATGGTCTATTTCTTTTTATACAAGTACCTCTCCTTAGAATAGAAATTCAAAGTACAAATTACTTAATATATAGTCTAATAATTCTAGAGTAAATACTTATCAATACATTGAGGAGGAAAATACAAATAAGTCTTTCTTCCTTAATAAGGGTCCCCATGTATTACAACACATGGCCCTAGGGCTTCTAAAATAAATTTTAAGTAGGGGAGTAAATAAGTAATTTTTTCTAAATTATCGATAATATTTCGAGTTCCAAGCCAAGGACTCAGTCATAACAAGTTAAGGAAAGAGATGAAGTCTTAGTTTATTATAAGCCATTTTCAGTAATATATAGCCTAAGAAGGCTAAGACCTTACTAATTCATTATAATAAATACTTAGTAAGAATATAACAAATAAAGTAGGGTTAATTCTTCTTACTCTTAAAGAGCTTAACTATTATAGGTCTTATATTAACATTCTTAACCAAAGAATTTTACCCTAAAGAGTACACCAAATAAACCAAAGGCTTCCAAAAATTTTGCCCTTTTGTTATAATTTTTTTACAAATATAACAAAGTTTAAAGCCCTACAGGCTTGAGCAGAAATCCAATGTATGCCTATATATATAGTATTACTTCTCTACTTTGTTTTGATAGAGAGTGGGACTCGGCTTTGATGATATTTATTAAAGATTCATTTTATTTAAAAATGATCTCTTATAAAAGTTTTTCTCTTTACTCCACCTTTGATAAATAGTGAAGAGGGAGGAATTTTTCCACCCACAAGAAGGGAGGGGTAGAAAAACTAAGCTAAAGGTTTTATTTCTCGGAAAGATTTGATTTCTTTAAAGTACCTCAATTTTTTAATGATTAATTAAAATATATTAATAATTAATTAAAGCACTACAAAAGGTCAGTTTACTATGTAAGATCAGACCGGGCTTTAATAAAGCTTAGCTAGCTTTGAATTTTAAAATATTTTATAGTATAATGGACTATCCTTTAATAAACCTAAGTTAATTTCAACGCCGAATACTTTATAAAAAATTCATTCCTGATTTAAGACTTTACCCTTGGACACCTAGAAAAAATTAGATATATAAGTAGGAAATGAAAGAATCGAACTTTCACCATTTTATTGTAAGTAAAACACTCTACCGTTAAGTTAATTTCCTATTAAATAATTAGATAGAAATGCATATAAGCTTCGCCTAAATCTCCTCCAAAAAATAAAAAATTCCTGCAAGGGGGGGGGGGCGGATATAATAAATAAAATATATTTTGCGAACCTAAAGATTTATACTTTTCTCTCTTTCTCACTAATTCATTTTTAGGCGGAGCTATTTCGACAAGCAAAGGATAGGAAATGTAATATACAGGAAAGTAGACACGAGCTCTCTAAAAGAGAGCCTGTTTTAATACACTGGGAGTTTTGTTAAAGCCATTCTTACGTTAAAAAGTAATGGGTATTGTGGTAAGATATATGTTGATAAAACATAAAGAATTACTAAGAATAGTAAAAAAGAAAATGACAACATATTTACAAAATAAAATGGTAATAATTGAGGCATTCTATTAATTTAATTAATGAAATTAAAATTTGATTTTCCCACAGGAAAATGAAGTTAATGTTTGCCCTAAAGGGTATTTTTCCTTGGGCAGAAAATTTGCCCACCACTACCCTTGCGGTGCTAGGCCCTCTTTACTTCGTTTGTGCGGGCTGATTCAAACGAAGCAATAGGTTACACAGGTCTTTAGTTGAGTTTAAATTTACCTTGTGTAGTAGTAGTTCGTCCAAATAAGCTTCGCCTAAATCTCGCCGCAGGCGCCCACCGTCGGGTTAAAAAATTCTTTACATATACGAAATGACTAGGCCACTATATTTATTTCCTAACCCTACAGACAAAACAAAGTAATATAATAGAGAAAAGAAAGAAAAGGGTTTGGCCTATTTATCCTCCCAAAGGAGCTTTATCAGAAAAGACAACTACCTTATAGAAGAGTCTTTGAATTTATCGGGATTAAACGGATTCGAACCGATATCTTCATAATCGACAATTATGTGCTCTACCTATTAAGCTATAATCCCTTATAATATATTATCATTAATTATTTAAAATACCCCTTAAGGTAATCATAAAATGTATTCATTAGGCCCGTAATTTATTAGAACCCCGCCGAAGGCGCCCCAGCAGTACTAGGACAAGTTTATTTTAATTTTTCCCGTTCCTTTATTTCGTTTACCGTGGGCGCGGCTAAGGATAATATCCATTTAGAGAGATAGGGCTCAAAATATATCCGAAGCTATCGAGCAGAAGCTCCTATATCATTAGTATCCTCCCTAAAGGAGCTTTAGCCCGCACAAACGAAGTAAAGAGGGCCTAGCACCGCTACGCTTGCGGTGGGAAATTTTCAGACGAAGCTTATAGTTTAAATATTTACTTGCCTTT